TCTCAGTCAGTGTATGCCCAATACAATCCATCTCCACTTTCTTCCATTACACATTTGTTGAGTGATAGGTTCTTGCTTCGTTGGTTCATTATCAGTCAGTCAGTCAGTCAGTCAGTCAGTCAGTCAGTCAGTCAGTCAGTCAGTCAGTCAGTCAGTCAGTCAGTCAGTCAGTCAGTCAGTCAGTCAGTCAGTCAGTCAGTCAGTCAGTCAGTCAGTCAGCCAGTCAGTCAGTCAGTCAGTCAGTCAGCCAGTCAGTCAATCAGTCAGTCAGCCAGCCACAGTTCCTCGTTGCTTATCCTCATTGTTCTGACAATCCATCTGATCTTCAGTAACGAGCCAGAGTAGGTGGCAGTTGTTGATCAATGTGTGTAGTTTGTTGCAAATCCCTTTCGTAGCGTGCCAAGTCTCTGAACCAAGATGGATTACTCTTAGTACTTTCTCTATAACAGAGTCATCTATAAAACAAGAGTCAATGCAGTGAAGCAATTCACAGAGGTCTTTTTGACGCCTTAGGCAAGAATTCACCATCTGATATTTGGAGGAACTGAGTGTGAGACTATTTAAGAAAGACCAGTGACCAATTTCGCTTAAAAAGTTTAAACTGAGAGCAATTTAAGGGGATGATCGGCATTAAAAATATTAGGTCGTCTGCCTACTTACCAAAATTAGCTTTAATTGAGGTTGGTAAGTCATGGAAAACGAAAGAGAAAAGAAAAGGAGAAAGAACAGCACCTTGCAATATACTGGCTTCATTAAGCAGCGAAGTAGACCATTTTCCTATGAATCGAGTGTACTGTCTTCTCTCAGAAAAATAAGAATCAAGTATGTTTGCAATCCAGGACTCAATGTGAGTCTTGGTAAGCTTGTTTAACAACAGTGATCTAAGGATAGAACCAAAAGCAGAAGTATAATCTAAGAAGAATGACCTAACATACTTACCACCTTTATCTAAACTGGCAATGATATTATGATATAGAGTAACAGTAGCATCTAAAGTACTCCTATTTTTGCAAGCAAACTGATTGGGATCGCTGAAAGTCTCTGAATGAGGTTAAATCATACGATGTGATAATTTTTCTATTGTTTTTAGGAATGGTAACGTTATTGTAATTGGTCAGAATTTCACTTTTTCTTCAGAAGATATATAATTTTTGTTAATGATTTGTTGATAAGGATAATAAGAACTTTGGACTCAAAACCTTTGTAACTTACATGTACTTCTTAACTGTCTATCAACATTAATTTTTATACTGTTGGCAAGTAATATAAACTGTGTTTCTCTATAAGTGAGTTCTGTCTGTTTGTGTCTCTGTCTCCAACTTGTGCTAACCAAATGTTTTAAGAAACTAACAATAGTGTTCTTTTCTCCTCATGAGTATATTTACAGTACACTTAGCTGCACTATTGTCCAAGTGTTGGCGTCGTCATATTGCCCCACCATTTCAGTATCATATTGATCTTAGTGAATAGCGGAGGAATCCAGGACGCTCATTCTATTTAGGACTCGTCAGCTGGATATACCTGCACTTCAGTGAGTATTGTTCCCACTGAGGCTGGAATCCAGTACCCTTCGCTTCAAACAACAGAGCATTATCCACTAAGTATCATAACAGTAATTGATACCTGTTGCTCAAGAGGTGGCTACCGTGCCCTAGTGGCTTAGCGCACAACGTTCTGACGTCTGGAGTGAAGGGTACGTGGTTCGAGTGGGAACGGCACTCACTGGGGTCTAGACACATCCAACTGACAAGTCACTGATAAGACAAAACGCGCTTCCTGGATTTCTCTGCTAGTCATCAAGGTCAATATCACATCATGAATATTCGGCAATATCGAGACATCCGTATAGGAGCTCATCTGCCAACAGACGACGAGTAATTCGACCCTGTATAGCAACGGGAAATTCCAAGTATCACAACAATTTCAGTAGGATTTTGAGGAAAATTGGTGTTAAACTTAACTAGAAACTTCCTTCAAGAAGCTGTGGCATATACATTGGAAATATATTAAAACTTAAATAAATCTAGAGAAACCTAAAATTTTGATATACTATCGTACCCTATGGTCGTTTTTAGATTTACTTAACCTTGTTATTACATTCATCATTGCGTTTTCAGTATCATCTGTTTTCGATTGGATAAAAGGACAATAGGATAGACAACGCGCTCGGCGAGATTCTGAGCCTAAATCAAATGATCTGACTTGTGTATGTATTGTAGAATTCTATACTCTCATTACTCAACTCTGCTGTGTTGTCTCAAATTGAAGTAATCTACAAAAGCTTTGAATTTATCACCATTTTGAACACCTAATTCTGACTGCATATAAGATAGATAGTACATCTAATATTTGAAGGAGATAGCACAAACATAGAAAATAAAAATGAAACTCTACTTAACTCAAGATGCCTATTTTAGGAAATTAGATAGTTTAGTTATTTCTTGAGTAAACATTTCAATAGTACTTAATATAATAAGAGCAACTTGGAGAAGATCAATCGTAGTTTTTTACTGTAAATAATAAGCAATGGTATTAACAGTATTCACATATTTCCAGGAATACATGACTGAATTAACAAGACATTAACGTTACCACATGCTAAGAATTGGATTTTCAGGGAACCAATACAACTTTCAAATTATGATAGTTTCATTGTGTACATAATTCAAGATGTGATCCTATCTGATTGTCACATATGAAAGATAAATCGCATTCACACAAGACGCTTCAACAGTATAATTTTACAGTAGTATGAGACCCAAAATAAATATCACTTTGAAGGTATTCAAAAGATCACCTTTATTGTAGCCATTCTTATAAATGATGAACATATCATCCATATACCGGTAATAATAGTCTAGTTTATCCAGTGTGTCCCTTGACCTCGTCGTCTGCTAGTATAGGACCCAGAGGGGAGCCCATTGAAACCCCATCTACTTGTCGATATAATTCGTTGTTAAATATAAAGTGAATATTCATGGTGCATTTTAACAGCGATTCCTTAACTCTTACCGGTGGGATTCCTATGTCTTTCTGTTGTTCTCTTAATTCATTGCAAATGTAGTTAACTGTTTCTATAAGCGAAACATTGGTAAATAATGATGTTATATCCAATGAAAACATCCCCTTGTCTCTAACATTCATATTTTTGACATGTTCCACAAAGCTGAATACATCTAACCAGTTCGCGATGTAGAGGTTCGAGCACTCGTACTAACCATTTTACTGTTGAATGGTACGGAGAATTCATCATATCTAGAATTGGACGTAGTGGAACTCTAGGCCTGTGAACCTTTGGTAACCCATACAGCCTAGGTATATGTGTGCCTGAGGACTTTAATGTATCATATGTGGACTTAGAGATCAAATTCTGTTCCATCATTGTCCTCAGAGTCTTAGTTAGTTGACGTTCTGTAGCCGTCTTTATTAATATGATTTTATATTGCTTGTCCCTTGGGTTCCTAGTGAGACATAGGAATTCCGTACCACGTCTCCATTACACTCTGTTCTCTGCAGTCTTTTCAACCTGTTTCCATGACTGCCCACAACCTCTCATTTACTCATCACACCATCTCCTCCATGTCACCCTCAACTACAACGCCCAACTCGTCAATTCCCATCTGGATTCCACTCGAGTGGCTGGCGCGGTGACTGATGTCCCCACTCGGACTTCTCAGTCAGTGTATGCCCAACACAATCCATCTCCACTTCCTGATACTTCATATTCGTTGAGTGATAGCTTCTTGCTTTGTTGGTTCGTTGCCAGTCAGCCAGTCAGCCAACTAGCCAGCCACAGTTCCTCGTTGCTTATCCTCATTATTCTGGCAATCCATCTGATCTTCATTAACCAGCCAGAGTAGGTGGCAGTTGTTGACCACTGTGTGTAGTTTATTGCAAATCCCTTTCGTGACGCGCCAACTCTCTCAACCACCACATAGAAGCACTGACTTACTTGACTGACGTTGGTGTTGAAAATCAGAATCTTGTTCATGCTTGATGCTGAGTGGATTGCAGATCTCCACACTGGTTTCAGGTGAATGAATGCCTGTCTTGCTGTCTTTCCGATCCTGGTTTCGACATCCTCGTCTGTGCCACCACCACCATCTGTAGTTGAAACAGTGCTGCCTACGTGTTAGGTGGAAGAGGCTACTTCCTTTAAGTTTCTCCCGTTGATGGTGATTGGAGCTTGTTGTTGTTGTTGTTGTTGGTGGTGGTGATGATGATGGTCGTGTTGGTTGGGTATCTTCATCACCTCAGTCTCCTCTACATTAAATTGAATTCCCGTCTTCGCTGCTCTGCCGTGTCCTGCCCTGCCTCTTCTGTCAACTTGTTAGTGTTTGCCACCTGATGATAGATTTACTACCATATTATGATACAAGTGAAGAATGATTTGATTCAATTGATCGGCCATGATTGGTAAATGGACTACTGTGTTGGAGCTCCAACATTATTGGCTTTTTACTTTCAACATTAATGATGGAAAGTGGATAGCAATGGAATTCAGGGTGCTCGTCTCTTAGGACTCGTCATTATCTGCATTTACCTACTTTGGCCTAGTGAACAACTCTTGGCGTTTGAAGCGATGGGTTCTAGATTCGAGTTTTAGAAGGAGACTGGTACATCAATCTTCTAGGTTCTTTTCTGCGGTCCAGCTAGCGTATCCCCCTCCTCTCGCTCCTCACTGTTTGTTGCATGATCCAGTCCACTACAATCAAGAATATCATGGGTGATAGTAGATAAAACCTATATTTATAGGTATACTAAAATAGATTTATTTAAACTATACAAAACAATTAATCAAAAATCACAAAGTCAAAATATATTTATTATTTAAAATTGTATTCATTGAATTTGTTTTAGAAAACATCATTTAAGTCAAATAGATAAGTAAGAATCAAACGTTCAGATAATTAAAACAAACACTTGTACATAAAAATGTACATATATGGATATCTTAAGTAGTATTTAGTCACCCATTAGATATTGATTAGATAATAAATATAGGTGAGCGGCCTAGTCAATTTGCATACTGTATGTAACAGCTTCACGCCACATATCTTGAAATGTCAATGGATAAAATTCATTATAAAGTGATATTAGAAAGATGAAATCTGCAATTGAGCCTACTTCTCTTCCTGGTTGTAAATTATAATAGCTATGTCCACTTTGAAATGGTATTCTTGGTATACCTAAACGTTTGGCTAATATTCCAGTCATGTAGACATCATCAATCCATATAGACGGTTGAAACATTGAACACCAGTATAAGTATGGCGCCAATTTCATATCCATTACATAACCGAAACCTTCACAATAAGTTGGAAATTCATTTTCAGGATATTCTTTATTGGTTATCTCCCATTTTGAATGTTTTGCACCACCAGGTCGTTCCACTTTAACATGAGCTGTAGCTGAACAATAAAAAGTACCATGTAGATCTGTTTGTTTCATTTCCAGATAACTTGTTAAATGAAAAATATCAATGAAAGTGTCATCATCTGCTTTGACTAGAAATGGTACTTTGTTACAGTAACCTGCACTAATCCATTCCATAACTGATATATGTTTACGCGTCATATTGTAGTAATGTTCAAGAAAGGCGCGTTGGACAATATCACTGTAGGAAATAATACAAATAGATAAATTGAAAAATATATGTGCGCAAAAAGTATGTATCTTACTTAAAACAATTTTCAACATCAATGTCTAGTCAGCGCGTCTATGTGATGGTTGAGAGACTTGGCGCGTTATGAAAGGCATTTCCAACAGACTACAGATATTCATCAACAGCTGCCGCCTAAGCTCGTCACTGAAGCTCATATAGCCAGGAAGAATAAGTAACAAGGAACTCTGGCTGGCAATGAACCAACGAAGCAAGAAGCTATCACTCAACAAATATGCAGTAACAGGAAGTGGAGATGGATTGGGCATACACTGAGAAGGCTGAGTGGGGACATCACTCACCGCGCCAGCCACTCGAGTGGAAGTCAGATGTGAAGTGAGGAGTTGGGCGTTGTAGTTGAGGGTGAGATGGAGGAGATGGTGTGATGAGTAAATGAGAGGTTGTGGTCAGTGGTGTATCCAGGTTGAGGCGATTTCAGAGAAGAGAGTGTAGTGGAGACATGCTACTGAATCCCTATGTTCCATTAGGAACCCCAGGGAAAAATAATAAAATAATAATAATAATTACTTAAAACAGAATTCATATTTGGTAAATTTTTTTAATTTATATCCTAGTTACAGTACTTTGGATGTCAGCTGCACTATAAATAAGATGAGATATGTAAGGCATCACTGACATAAGTCTTCAAACGAAATCCAAGATTATTAGTTTGACTATTTGACATAGCTGCGATTTAACAAACTTGTATTATTGATACTGGGTGAAATGAAAATCTGAGCCAAGATAAGATTTAAACCATCGACCATCGGGTTTCCAACTGAACTACGTGATCTGACTATTGACAACATTTCTATTTAACTTTAATCACCAAATGTTTCAACCGACTGTCATGTGAATTGATGACACGCAACTATCACTTAATCGTACTCATACTGGCTACCCAATCAGGAATTCTTATCCCAATCTAAATAAACTTGAATTAGAAGGGGGAAGCATCATATTGTTTATCTGCTTGAAGTGAAATAAAATCTGGTCAGCAGTAGAATGTTTACGAATGACACACAGTGAATGTGATGCCTAGACTGGCACAGAAACATCCATACAAGGAGACATCAAAACTACCAGAATGGTTGTACACACACACACACACATAAGCACAATTCACCAGCAGGAAGTGACACTTCCATGATGGTATATTATAGATTCTTTAAATAGATATCCCAGTATTTTGTAGCTACCAGCAGTAGATTCATGAAGTCTATCCAAAGTGATGCACCTGCATTTAGGAGATCAGCCAATTGGAAATCAATGAAGCCAATCAGCGACCAGACAGTACGTTAATAGTATAGTTCGAATGATATCAAGAGTTATAAAAGTCAACCTCTGATGAAAATGAAGAACAAGTCACCCTTGTCCACAAGCTAATAACACTTTGTATCGGCTAATATTCTTCATCAGCATTCATAAAACTTGAAAATACTTCAATTCTTTGTGAAGTAAATGCTGATGAAGTTGCCTTGTCTAGTGATGAAATATCTGAGAAGAAACCTTAAAGCTCAGAGAATATGAAACAAGCATCAATCATAGGCTTTGCCTATGCGTTAACATCAGGGGATTAGTTTAGCCTCGTAAATTAACAGTGATGTAGCTCAAAAACTTCAGCAACAATTGACATTAGTGTCATGGGTCGAAACTCAGCAGCCGACTAGAAAATACTTTGGCGAATTAAGTGAAGGACGCTGAGTTCCATTTTTAGTGTCAACACCAAAACTATGATTCAAAGACATCCAGATGGAGAGTAGCATATAGGATAAGGGATGCTTCCTAGTTTTCCCTGCATACCACTTCTACTTTCAAATGAAATCTTACTACAACTTCGTAACCTCACTTTCTCCTCATTTCGGTTTTATCCTAGTTCCTATCATAGACATGTTCGTTCCAGTTTATTCATATAGTGGGTCACTTACCAGGTCACTTTGTTATAGGGTAGTATTTTGAAAAAAATTCTCATGTATACGACAACAGTTTCTTTGAGGATGATAAAATTAACAATTTTAAGATTTCGTTTTCATTGATGTTTCATACAGTGTGAAAGATTCTCCTGCAGTCTGCGGACCACTAATTTATCAAAGGGGACGTTTAGACTACTGCCCAGATATGCATTTCTCTTAAATGGTAACACTGCTTGTTGGTGCCTAATAGTGGAAGCCAAAACGCACGTTTTTTTTCTATCCCTGACTCATCAGCTGAACATACCTGAATCACAAGAGACCTGATGGTTCGGTAGCCTAATTGATAAATGTCTAATGCTTGGACTAGATGGGTGCTAGTTTCGATTACCTCCACCCACCCACTGCAACGCAGGCACGTCCAACCATTGAGACCCAAAGTAGAACGAAATGTATATCCTCACTTCCACCGCTAGCCACCACCAAGCAGATAAGAACCAAATGAAACTCGAAGCGATATCGAGACCCATTCGGGGAGGTTATATACCAACAGAGATCGATGAATTTGATACAAAATGATAATCAACAGTAAATACAAAAAATCAATGAGTAAATATGCATTTACCAGTCTGTGAGAAATATGAGTAAAATCTCTTTCTTAAATATCCTTCTAACTAGGTCATTAGCAGTGCTTATCAAAAACTATCTTTGAGTGGAATGTATCCATACTTTTATAGTTTTCCTCTACAATGGTAAATATACATTTCTTAATGAGGTTAGGAAAATATTCCAGTTTTTCGAAGGAAGTATAACAACCAGATTAGCTTTAGAAGTTTCTTATAGAGTCAAGAAAAATTGCCTGAAGTCAATTAACATCCATCAAAATCACAACGGTGGTCAGCCTCCTATCTTGGTGGTCACGTTACAAAAGAATCGATAGGATTCGGTCAGCACTCAGGACTAGAAAGCATGCAGTTGCTTGTTCTCCGCTAACCAATAGATGTACATTGTTCTCTTTACTCATGTACCGGTTAGGAAAGTTTTTCCATATAAATTAATGATTTTTAAAAAAAATTGTCCTTTGGGTTCCTAGTGGAACATGGGGATTCAGTAGCACGTCGCCATTTCATTTCGCACACTGCAATCTTCTCAACCTAGCTCCACGACTGCCTACAAACTTTCATTTCTTCCTCACACGATCTCCTTCACGTAACCACCGGACACACGACTCGTCGTTTCCCATTCGGCCTCCACTTGAGGGCCAGGCCTGGCTCGTGGTTTTCTCATTTTATGCTCAATCCAGTCCATCTCCAATTTCTTCTGCATAGGTTTTTGGTTGGTTCGTTGCCAGGCCAAAAATACTTGTTACTTATTCTCATTATTCTACCCATATAATCAATCTTCAGTGTCGAATGAGAGTAGACGGCAGCTGTTCATGTGATGTGTGTCTGCAGTTTGTCGGAAATGCTTTTCGCAACACGCCAAGTCTCTCAACCATCACATAGAGCCACTGACTTACTTGACTGAATTAGTGTTGGAAATCCGGATGTTGTTCATGCTTTATGCTGAGTGCAGTGCATTGGATCGCCACACTGATTTTAGGTTAATGAAGACCTGCCTTGCTGTCTTTCCCATCCTGGCTTTCACGTCCTCATCTTTCCACCGCCACCGCTTGTAGTTGAAACGATTCTGCCTAGGTAGGTGGGTAGGTGAAAGAGACAACTTCGTCTAGATTTCACTCATTGATGGTGCTTGTTGTTGTCGTTGTTGCTGTTGGTCGGGTGTCTCCATGATCTCTGTCTTCTCTACGTTCGTTTGAAAAATTTCCCGTTCTCGCCGCTTTGCCTCTTCTGACAACTTGTTGGTTTTCGCCTGTAGATCTTTGAGCCTGTGCGACAACACATCAGACAAAAATCATCATCGGCGAAATCCAAATCTTCTAGGCTCCTTTCCTCCGTCCAGCCAGCGTGTCCATCTTCTTGCTCCTTACAGTTGTCTGTTGCATGATCCAGTCCAGTCGACCACAATCAGGAAGACCATCGGTGATGGTAGGCATCCTTGTCTAACTGCTTCCTGTCTTCACTTCAAAGGCATCATTGAGCTTTCGATTGTAGATCACTTGGCATGTAGCATCATATGGCATATAGGTGCTGAATGAGGTTGATAAATGTTTGTGGCACTAAACCGTAGTGTTGAACCAGCTGCCAATTAACGTCTCGGTTGACATTATCGAAGACCTTTTCAGAGTCGATGAAGTTGGGGTAGAGTTGACTACCATTTTATGCGCTGTTCTAAAGTTAATGATGTAGATAATGAAAATTAAGTCTGCTCAATAAAATCACATTGGTTTTTCGTATCCAAACCTAATCTAGGCTGTTGAGTAACAAGCTAAGCCTATCTTTAATTAGTCAGTCAACTTCAGCGACACTTGCGTGTTGCTAAGACCATGACTTTTGTATTGATATGAAGTTGTAATAAGAGGTCGTGCGTGACCCATGGGGCAAACTAATTCGGACGAGAGGACAAATAATCAACCACTGCATTGGATGAAGGTTGTGGTATATAGCGAATTCACAAAAGTGGGAAAACGTGGACCATCGGTGGATTAACATGAAAGTGACCTCCGCCAAAACTGAAGGTCCTGAGTTCGACCTCTGACAGAGTCATGGGTGGGCACTGCTGAGTATTACCATACCAGAATGAAACAGCTCTCCAGTGCTCCCAGGTTTTCACTGCTTCTCCAACTGACGTTAACGCATGATTAATACTGACTTGAAATCAATAAATCCCAACAAACCTCTAAATTATATTGCTTCTTTTCTGTCTCTACTCTTTAAATATTCATCAACTCATCAAATGAAACTGATGTAACACTTCTCTGACTGATAAGTAGTCGATACTATCTAGATAAATGGGGCTTATTTCATATGAACAATCAAGAGGCTAGGGAACAAATAGTTAATTTTTTTCAGAGTCAGCACCAATCTATCAGACAGTATTAAGGAGAATAGAAATGTGAGATAAGAATACTTCTGCATACTCATAACTAATTTTGAACCTTGTCACTAAGACTGGTCTACAAGTGATTTTTAACTTTTTGAAGACTCCAATATGGCATCCATAGCAAATAAACGATAATCATTTAGTAAGAGAGAACATTAAACTTGTTATTGTGATTGTCAGTATACGGTTTCAATTATCAGAATCATATAAACATTGAATGCTATCCTCTCTTGTCACACTCTTCTTTGTTTCAATCTATTCTGATAATTAAAAGCATTTCCCATTGATCCACTACATACAGTATAATGAAATGTCTAATTTTGCGATTTACCAAAATCAAAATTTCACGTACCCTACTTAGTTATATTCATTGATTCTGAGAAGACAATATGCTCTCAGGAAAGTTAAGGTCCTAATTCAGAAGAAAATATCTCACAATTAAACTATGCAATATTCAGTATACAGCCAATGGGAACAAAGAAATTTTGATGTCAGAAATGACAGACCAAAAAAGTCAATGCAGAACCTAGCACACAAAGTGCACTAGATCAATTTGCCACTCTTTACACAAGTATACAAAGAAAGGATGGATAGGAAAAGAGTGATATGCAAAGTAATGTGAGAGAATAAACAATTTGAAGATCAAGGTTAGTGTGAATATCCAAGCTGTAGAAGATGTCGAAAAGTGAATACATCTGCACTATTGTAACCGATTTTCAGCCATGTTACCAAGTGTCTTCAATCACTGATTCCTGTTGTCTCGGAGACTTCAGCTAAGTAGTCCACATCTCCCAACACGGCTCAGATTAGCAGTTATCGATTGGTTTTCACTTCGAACGCTACTCTGACTCCCCTAGCATTGTAGATTGAGGTAAGCAACGGTTCATCATATGTAGAACATATCCATATCATTTCAGTCGACTAAGGTTCACAACCTTATCAATCAACTTACTTAGTACCTTTCATTTGACCTCAGAAATAAAATTTAAATATTTCACTAACCCATAAATTTGTTCTTCTTCTTCAACTTGTTTTTGTTCCTTAAAATTATTTGAAATACCCATAAAGAAGAGAACACCAATTTTACGATTATTCACCTGATTTAATGATCCCCAAGTTGAACGAATTAAATCTCTTTTCTGTCTATGATTTGGATGTGTATGTACAATAATTAAAATCCATAAATTAGTATTTTTTATACAAAAATTTGGTTGATTAAAATAAAATCATTAGATTCAATTGGAATTGGTATAATATTTTTATTATTTGCGCATAAATTGAACACTTTTTGTATACCTTTAAAATGTCCACTTTTAATATGTAATTCTAATATCTTTAAAATTTTTGGCGGCCATTTTGATAATATTGTTATTAAATCTTGTTTTGTTTTAATGAATTCATTTTCAAGTTTATTTTTCAATATATATTTCATAGAAGCATTACTAGTTTCAAATGTAATAGTAATAATAATAATAATAGTGATATATAGGTAATGTAATACACAGAAATTGTATAACATAGTGGATTTATATGCATAAATCAATGGATTATATAAAGTTGGTAATGATTAACAAATATTCGTAACTATGAATCAACTTCTCTTCATTATTGCTTAAATACAAATCATAATCATATGTATATATATGAATAGTAATAATGATAATGATACTTATGTCTATCTACATCTCAATGTCCATGTATCATCCTATAAGATACATTGGTTATTTGTGTGCGTCTATATACAATTGTGTTATACTCAAACTTATTGTAGTATATGATATATACACATAATTACACAACATTTTGGTAGACGAATAGAGTAGGTGAGTAAAACAGAGTATAAACCTGATCAATAAGCTATAAACACTAAGAGTTTATAAGTTATTATATATGTAAGGATAGACTTGAGTTTAATGTGATGAATAGACAGAAAACTTGCATACTTAAAGATATTAACAACCATATTGAAACTCATACATTAGGCAATGAACCACAGCTATTGGTTGAAAGGTATGATGCTATCTGTTTGTATGAACTTGAGCAGTTGTACAGTTTAAAACTCTAGATGGAATGACACCAAAACCAATTACATTTGAGATGATACTACCTAATTACTTAAACCTTGATAGGGGGGAGGATGTTCAAAACTGCGACATTATGATTGTAAGTCGACTCCCTAGACCAATGAGCCACAATTCTGAGTGTCAAATGAATCCTACTAACTGCAAATACCTCAAGAATATCTATTATTTTCAGTCTAATCAAATCATTTACCACAAAGATATCATACCGATATAAACCGGTTAGGAGTGTTCGACACTTGAATACAGTTGAACAATGCTGAAACGAATCGACTTTATTTTCTTTTCTCATCTTTTATCGATTACAAAATGACTCTTCGAATTAAAAGATTCACTTACAAGATATACTCAAACGATTGTTTTTTCTACTTGTAATCTCCTCTTATTACATTGGATAGGATTGCTCGATCTCGGCGTTTGAAGTGATGAGTACTCAATTCAAGTCCCGATGGGAACAACATCATTCACTAGAGTGCATATACATTCATATTTTAATGAAAAGAATTAAAGAAATATGTGTAAATGTTTTTCATTGGAATTATTTATGAGACTTTACTGGGGAGTATTTGTTAGCAAAATCGTATTCATACGTTGAGATGATGTTTCAGATTTGTTGTTTGAGGATACAAGTCTATGAGCCTATATTAATCCTTTCCGGTTGATCTCTGTACTTGTCCAGTCGTCTTTTGAACGAGTCAGTTGATGACGTGGACACCACTTCTCCTGGAGTCAGTTCCAGGAGTTGATTGCTCAACGCTACAACCAGTACTCTGCGGAGACTAAGTTCGTTTTTCGCTTTTGTATTCTCCTGATATACCCTGTTAGGTGTTCCGACCTTGTAGGAAGAGAAAACAGATCAGGTATAAAGTCATTTCTTAGAATCCTGTATAGCATGATTAGATCGCTCCTCTGTCTGGGATGCGATAAAGAGAAGAGGTCCAGCTCCTCAAGCTGATCTTTATAGGTCGGATCAGCCGTCACAGGGATCATACAAGTGTCTGCCCTCTGAACGTTTTCCAGAAGATCTGAGTCACGTTTAAGAAAAGGATTTGTTCTTCATGTATACTTTTCTAGTTTACACCTAAACAAGAATAAGATGGTGGACATATCATTATTTATTTTTGTAAACGTTCTATGTAATGCCCAAAGTGTCCTAAAACTCCAAGTTGCTACCAATCGACAGTGTACCGTGATTTTCAAATCATAATTCGCTGTGACTTTTAGGTCATCATTATGAGTCAGTACTGAGGGTAAACGAGCCACATTAATGTCAACCTTCCAACTTGATAGAAAATAATAATTGAGGTAGTAAGATCTGAAATAGCAGATACGTTTTTACTACCTGTAGATTGATAATTCCAACAGTCATTTATTTTTGGTTACGCAATGAATTTATGTTCAAAGCATCCTATCAAATGACCCAGGTAACTCGAATTTGATAAAACTTCTCTAAAATGGAATAATTGTTACCAACATTATGAATAAATCGTTGTTATTGAAGCAATGAAGAAACTCAAGGAATGATAATGACCATGGCAAAATAAGAGAACGGACGTAACTCTTTATTGCTTCAGTAATTCGTCACTTATACATAGCAGAGGTGCTAGCGATCAATTAATTACATCACTATTAGTTATGTGATCCTTGTTCTGCTCTCATTTACTTCATTCCATTTGTATGAAACTAAAGATTACTATATAATTAGTAGGATACGAATTGTACAACATTTCTTGATTGGATTTATTAGAAAAACACTTACTTCACTTAACGTATTCCTCTTACAGATAGTATGAATTTTAGGAAATCCGTCCACCTCTGAATTTTTGAACACAAGATGGATTCCTAATCCACCTACCAGAGAGAAAAGAGGTGGTTCATAATGTTTAACATAATTGCACAGTTAAATCACTTTTCAATGTTACATTACACTTTTTTGCATATACTTTTTCCTATATATTGTTTCTGGGATCCTCCAGAATGTCATCTTAACACATCAGCTGAGTAATGAAAGACACTAAGTAATCTTTATGAGATCTAGTATTTCTTAGAAATCGTTTGCTTCTAAATAAGGCTGATAAACTGCCTCATCAAATGTTTATTTGTAGAGCAAGTTATTTTGTGTTTATGAACGTTGAAATAGACGATTTGTAAGTACTATCATCTTAAGTTCAGTAACTGCTCTTGATTCATGAACTGGAATACAATCAAGGTTCTGAGTCGATTTATGACTTTAAAGTCATAGATGTGTCTACATTGCTTACTGAGTCAACTGCATAGTTCAGGATGAAACTTCTGAATGCTTGTAAAATTGTTCAACGTCCATTTTATCTAATTTATTAGATATATCATACAGTGAGACAGTATAACTTACTGGATTACTCAAATAATGCTGTTTGACTGTTATACGTTTAATAAATGAAATAAAATAGTATTACTTCCCACCACACTGCTTAAGTTTTACTCAGCCTCCAGTTATTTTGAAACACGTTAAGAGAAACGGTTCGAAGCATATCTTTAATCATCATCAACACAGGCATTACTGCACAACGGTTCAATTTGCCACACCTCATATCAGGATATCAAGTAACAGCAATAAGATAAAAGAAGAAATATTGGAGATTCGACCAGTAAGAAAGAGGAAGGAGAAAGTGCTGAATTTAGTATAGCCATTAAGGTGAAGATAAAGTGTGAACGCATCTGCGCTACTGGCATCGATTTTGAGCCATATCACCTTCAGTGTCCAGTTGTCATATAGACCGGCTAGTCTGTATCTTCCTACATGGCTAAGATCAACAGACAAAGACTTCATGCAATTATGTCATGTTTTAGTCTGGCCGCCCCGGACCTTTATCCAGTTTCAACCAATCTCAACTAACATGCTGCAGGGATGCAGACGGCGGATATGCATGCGTAACTTATTTCCCAGCCATCTCAGTCGATGAAGGTACATGATCTTATCAACTGACTTTTATCTCCTCCAAAAAACTCTACTTTCTGTGCAACAGTTTTAGTTATATTAGCAAGTGCATTCAAATTTGTTGGTACGGATATGTACTCGTCCATTTTCATTTGAATATGGTCCAGGTCGTACTGCGCTGAGGAATATGTCTGTCAATTGTCTTCCTATTATTATTACAAGCTTAAAAAAAACCTTCCGTGTTGCTTCATATCTTCATGAATAGAATACTTTCCTCAGTAATGCATGAACAAATAGTTCATTTTATTTTCCTTTAAATCTTAGTACTTTTGAGTTGAAGTCAACACTGGATACCTCCATAGGTCGGTTACCTTATTTTATAAAAAGCACCCTACCAGATCAGGTCATGTACCACAGATGATCTGAATTCAAACATGGAAGGGGGCTCTTTTCTACCCTGCTGGAATCTAAAAACACTCCCATATTTGAACCATAACCAATAAGAACGCTTATGATCAGCGATTTATGCTGGACACGTCACTAAGTCACTAATATTGCATCACTATGGAATACGTATCAAGACAGTTACCCCAATATGTTATATTTATCTCGGCGACTTGCAGTGGACACGGTTTCAGGCCTATTTAGGACTCATCAGCTAGATGTACCTATACCTACTCGAACCCGGTACACATCGTTTCAAATGCCAAAGCGTTATCCACTAGGCCACAGAGGTCGAGCAATTCCACCCTATACAGCAACAGGAAATTACAAGTAACAAATAATAGTTACCTCAACTTACAAAACAAGCTACTTTGCCATACATCACAGATATCCCGGAAGCTATCAACCGATCACTGTATCTGTTCAGTATCAATGGGGCAAAAAACCAACCAAATCCCTGCAGAGTATAATATGCCATTACCCAAAGAAGATAGGGTAAACGTAATATATAAAATTAGTAGCAAGGACAGTCAACATCTTCATGTTGGTTAATCCAGTCGTCAAATAGCTAAGAAATTTGTGATCAACGACTTGACAGTCCTCATTGATATCGGTTTATGTAGGTGAACGCAACCACAACGTCGGAGTACCACAGGTAAACTCAAAACACCAAGAGAATTCCTGAAAGCATGGTACTCCAATCGACTAGGTGGCAACAGACACGTGAACATTGACTCAATTTGCAGACTAGTGAGAGGGGATCAGCCAACTGTTAATCAATCAACAGTCAGACATTGGGTTAACAGTATAGGCTAAACAATAAAAATAAATATATAAAAACAGACACATCATCTCTACCCACAAACCATCGACCCCCAAGGTAGGCAGATATCGTGCATACACATTCATGCAACTTGAAGATGTTCCACTTCCTTATTCAAAAGATGCTGATGGAGACGTCTAGCTTGGTGATCCAACATCGAAGAACAAATCTAAAAGCTTGCAGATCACAAAACAGTTATCACACTCATCCTGAAGTAAAAATCTTCTCCACTACCTCAGATTACGAATATATTTTTTTCTGAAGAACAAAAGACATGTGGCCCACCTAAACGAAGTCACAAAAGATACATTCAAGACTTAACTACTTTCTTTATTGCAACTTAAAAGTAGAGGACATAAGAAAACCACGGTAAGAGCGCAGCGAAACTACTCTCAATTCGGTAGTCTATTCGATATTTCAGAGATCCACTACGCGCCAACTTTCATTCAGAACAATATACAACGTGGTATGAAAGTGAAGCCGACCAGCGAGTTTAACCTAACACTGTTATTCTTCGGCAATGTGACCTCACGTCATATACGAGTGGACTTCTCACTTCTTCCAACTAGTGTCACAACCGAAAAATAATTGGTTGGAAAATGACTAGCATGGCAACGCGTAAAAAGTCTGTCCAAATCATTGAACTAGGTAAATTAAATTGTTGACTAATAATATTTATCATGCGCACATATAACCAGATCTTAAAATCAAAAAAGTGTAACTACGAGGTGTGAGTAATCAAACTGTGGTAGCTGAGATTGAATGCTCAGTTGTTGCACAACCTCAGCTAGCTTTGTTTTTAGAACGAGTGATACAGTTGACCCTGTTTAAAGACTAATACACTGCACACCAGTCCAGTGTGTACAGCTGAGGTATGACCATCGAAAGCAGATGTGAAGTTATGAGTTTTGATAGGTGGTGGTTTCGTAGTATTGTGGTGTACCCACTATGTAAGCAATTTAGAGGTTAAACGTAAAGTATTAGGCAAAGAAGATACGTCACTCGATGAGGTTGTGAAACCTCCACCAACTAAGTTGGCTGAAACATGTGTTGTGCGTGCCAAATCACTGTCGAATTCGTTGTGCAATGCTAGCCATAGTGGGATTAGGTTGAAGGGGGGAAATGCAAAGAATGGTAGACTGAAAATGGAAGCAATCCAGAAAAGTATTTAACTACTGACCTAAGTTGTATAGGTTAATTGATTAGTGTCCTGTTGGTATAAAATGTAACCACTCGCCCAACTACTGCCGGCTTCTGTTGAGGTTTATTTTCAGCATTTCAGTTTGCTAAGTCTCAGAAAATAAGTAACACGCTCCAGCACAGACCATTCATATCTGTTATTCAATCGAAATTCACTCAGCAACCTACTTCAGTAAGCAATAAGCTACACCTATTATGTGAGGGATAATGATACCATATATCTGCCCAGATCTCAGTAGGTGCAGCGAGGTTTGAAACAGCGACCCACTGGTTGAGTCAACTGCCTGAGTCAGTAAGCCAACGCTCCACCTTGAACGAAAAACTGTTGTTTCTATTTTCTGAAGATATATGCGGGTAATAAACTGAAGACATCTGTTTAACTCCTTGGAAAATAATTTATTCCATCCCAATAAGCTGAGACATGAAAAAGACTAAACATTCAATGCATAAACAATTTTTACACTTATAAACAAAAGGAAACTGGATAAAAGTTACAAGATATACTCAAGAAGAAGAAAAAAGTACCTTCCACTCTTCTTAAACAGAAATCAATCACTGCATAGAAATCAGTAATATAGAAATGAAAATTAGCTAGATTCTACATAAATACACTCACTTTTCAAAAAAAGATAAGTTACTTGCTTATATAGTACTTAGGTGATAAATCTAAACTCTATAAACAGAGGTAATCTCATAAAGATGATACCAGATCATACAGAAAAAAAAGTCATGAAAGTAAACGAAAAGAAAACGATGTAGTGGAAGACATGGGAAATTTAAAAAGAAAGCCAAAAGCGCAAGAAACATATATACTGTTTACAAATAACAACCATTGATCTTGGATATATATTATTACAAAGCCCAATAATATTATCAATACAAATGAAAGACAAAGTCATGATGATATACAATGAAGAAGGGGTTATTAACAAATGGATTCACTGTTCTTTTTCTGGTGTGTAGACAACCTTTTCTATAGTATGATGCTTTCTGTGATCGCTAGGTTTAATTCTAAAACCAACGCCTAGTTTAGCCCGATTACTTCTCCTGGAGTTATCCTTATTATTATTATTATTATTATTGCAGTTATTGCTGGTATCAGTCTTAACAACACTACTACTACCACTATTGCATATATCAGTATGTAATCCACTTACATTCTCCTGTTTATATAACTTATCCGATTTATGCGTCTGCGGCTTTTCACTAATAGGTGTGATATCTTCAGACACAGCCTCCAGTTTAAATGAAGCACTTGTAAATACTTCTGTAGTTGCAGTACTAAGCTTCGATCGAGTAGCATATTCAGGATTTGCAGTTGAATCATCTACAAAGTGAACAGCAGTTACAGGCGTTACTTGACCGGAAACATCAAGTCCATTTTGAGAAACTGAAACATTTTCAACATCTCGTGTTGCTACATCACTTGTCACCTGAGGTTTTCGATCACGGTAACCATAATAGATTCTACGATAGTGTAAAAGAGATTGACACACCAATAAACAAGAAGCGAAACAATGATGTGCAGCACGATTACTTATCTCTATAATACTCTCTATAATAGAGGATCGAATAAATTCAGTAGGACGATCATTATTGTCTGAACACTTATCAAGGCAGTCAAGTTTGAATAAAATCAGATCAGAACAATTTAACAATACCATTAATAAACTGGAAGAAGTTGGAATACGCGGACGTTTCGATAGACTAACAATACGACTTGAAAATTTTGAAAATCTTGATAAAGAGTGAAAAACTAAGACAGATATAACAGTATTCTGTAAATCAAGAACAGACAGTGTTTCAATATAATTTTGAATCAAATATATAGTTGCTGAGACACGAAGTGGACTGTAATTTTCATTCTCAGATTTAATATTGGCATCAATTCTTTCAATTGTTTCTCTTATCGGTATAGGGTCATGAAAAACTGATGGTGTAGTTAGCGATGGTAGACGAAAATTACTAATATCACTTCCAGAATATTCAAATTCACCTTTTAATGGACCATTTCTTGAAATATAACAGTTGCATATACTTAATAAGCAAGACTCTAGCAGGCTTAAACTGTTTAGAAATGATGACTGTGATGAATCAGCCTGATTTGAAGTACTTTTCTTTACTTGAAATACTGAACTACTATCCTCATAAGAATGACACAAATACGCGTGTAACAATGAAGGTAATAAAAGGATGACAAAATTTTGTAAAGCTGGTAAACCTGATTATAAAATGCAAATAATCTTTGGCAAACATCAGAAATGACACTAGTGGATACTAGTTTTTCGAATGCCTCTTCTATATCATCAACCAGTTTGGCACTTGAATACATCCATTCAATGAGTTCATCCATTGATTCACGAGATGATGGTTTGTACGATGCTAACCATTTGGAAAGTTTCGATGGCATTTATAATCAAAATATGCTAAAATATTCAACAAAAAACCATTCACAAAGTGGAATAAAAAAATCTATAATCTTAAACTTTACTAAAAAAGAAATGAAATATGAAACGTATTGAATCATAATAAAACGATGGTAGGGTAATCCAAAGCCACATCAACTGAATACAATCAAGGCTATGGTTGATTTTATTACTATCAACGTGAAGGAGGTGTCTCAGAGCTACAGCTAACTGGTATAAGGAGATGAGTATCAACCAGTAGGTCACGGGTTTGGGCAACCAGGTGGTATCACTAGCCCTAACACAATACACGTGGCTCATTGCCTACTGAATGAATGGGAACAAGTTGACTGAGTGCGATAGGTTCCCTTTTCATATGATGTTCAGTTCCTCTATGAAAGCAATGAATGATTGTAGTAATTAGGTAAATTTCAAGATTTTTTTCTGAAATTATGACCAAATTATAACCGTTCTCACCATTACTAAGGGAAGTTTAAATAATGATCGGGCTGCTAGATGAAACGTACCTCGCACTGATAAAGAAAACAACTGTGAATCCATCAAACTGAATCAAGTCACTGGAACATCACTGAAAGAGGATATTAAAATGAACAGGAATATGAATAACAATGAATCGACAAGTAATAAAATGTTTGAAATTTAAGAGGTGACGAGGAATTCCTACTTTTTTTTAATCTCTGTAATCGGTTTTGAGGCACGTTACAAAGGATATTTAACCATTGAATCTCAATACTTCGGTGCATTTTCCGGTCTCTAAGCCGTATATGGTTTGCATTAAATGAATAAAATCTCAAAAATCCCACTCAGCGTACATTTTCCCATATTGGTCACGAACAAAACAAAATGGTCCACACTCACAAACCATGAATACGTTTTTACAGTAGGCAATTAAACAAGCCTATTTTGTAAGGACCAATGATACTACCTGGCTGCGTGAACCTCATTAGGTGGAGTGGGACACGAACCCATGACCCAGTGATAACAAGTTAAATGTCTAAACCAACAGGCTAAAGCTCTACTACGAATCAATGACTTCAATGGTTGGTACCATATTTTAGTCTGATCATCTTTACCTTTCTTACTCCAAACATACTGTGTTGGATGGATGACGGCTCAGTGTACATATAACATGCCGTAAGAACTTCAGTCACCGCACGTTTACCATCTTATTGACCGAATATCTCAAACTCTGTCTGATCTGCACATCACTTGCTCTGAATCCATTACATCATCTGTTTTAACGCGCTAAGTTCGTTGAAGTACTATCAGGTTGGAAGCAACCAACGGGTTAGCAAACTAAGAGAGCATTTATCCATGAAGCTTTTAACTGCTGAACTGAGTGGTTTATTTTATCTTTCTTGGTCACGTAGCTTACTAGGACTTTTGATCACATTTTTATTTATTCGTTTTTCTTTACGTTATCCTACACCATGATGTGATGACGTGAGGCAATGATGGGGCAATACGTTGTGTGTTGATCATGTTTGTTAGTTACTGAACACCGGAAATGATAAGACATCTGTGGTCAAAAGCTTGCAACCTAAAGTCATCCACCTTCGCCAGACGCATCTCAGAGTTGCATAAAAGAATAAAACAAATGCACTTAATGAAGTCTCGCCAGTGCACGCCTGCGAATTACCTTTGTATTCAACTAAAACACTAGGGTTGAAGTAATTCCCTCCAATAAGTGAAATAACGCAACAAATTAACCCTTTCCAACCACGTTCACACAACTTCAGAATCATCAAATTAAACTTGGCAGGTGTAAAACACACCAAACATTTGTAGGTTATGCTTAAGGTGTTTAGAAGATCTGATATCTGTCAGTACTTACGCCTAGTAGGACTGCGATGCATGTAAATCCCTTAGGCTCACTAGAGGTTCTTTAGGAAACCTTTGTTAATTTGATAGCAACCAAGTTGGTAAATGGTGACAATGAACGTATCACCCTACATGATATGTCTCCATAACTCCTTATATATCTGTGAGTTTGAGGACAGCACCGTTATTCATTCAAGCCGTCGTCCTTTTATAGTCAGAATAAAAACCAACCTCCACATCGACAGTTTGGATTAGATCGTGGATCTTCACAGACTAAATTAGTTCAATAAAGTGTTACATATACCAGGCAACTATATGCTCGAAAAACTTGATGTTGGCTCAAGAACTATGGTAACATTAAAACATTGGTAACAAACTATGAAATCTGGTCTGCATGGTGCAGTCGTCTTTGCCAGTGTCCGCGAAACAAAAGCGTCGACAGTGTGAGACTACATGTGATTTGACTCGAAGTCGGAGGGGCTGGTGAGGATGTTTTCATGATTTATATTTATCAAAACTGTAATGCAATATATTTTCACTCCTCTTTTAACCTGGTTTGCTAGTATTATGCCATTTTACGACTATGTCTTATTTTCATTTGTAGTCTTTTTTCACGTTGCGCTTTGCCTTTACCGACTTGCATAAAGCGTGACCGAAATGCGATCACGCCTTTTTTTAATCTTCTAAAACCTATTTCTGTTCGACTGATAAGATCAGATTCTGCCTTCTTGTCGAGATATCCGATCAGTTACAACTAAACCATTATTATTCACTAACATTGCTCGTTTTTGTTGGTTTAGTAGGTTGATAAATGAAGTTTTAAAGGGAATTACGGTTGAAATACTATTCTGGTTGCAACTAAGAATATCTATAACCCGGCTCTATGTACTTGGGACCTGTGGCTCATTGGTTTAGGGAGATGACTTTGAACCAATGAGTCATGGGTTTGAACACTACGCCGTCTACTGAGGTTCGGGTAGCCAGTTAGTATCACGAGCCCCCACACAGTAAATGTGGCTCACTGCCTGCTGCACGAATGTGCACAACGTTACTGAGTGCATTTTTTGTATACATGACTTTCTGCTAGTGATGCTGATATAATTTCTAAGCACAGACTCACATGGATTCACGGAATTTCACACGTAGGATCTTTTTGACCTCTTTTTGATGCTAATGAAAATGGATATTTGATTTGTTTATGAATTTGGATGTTGAAATGTAGAGCAACTGTTCTTATTGACTTAAAATGACTTCCTAAAAGAAATACTAAATAAAGTCCAGCTTAGTAGTTCAACATCTTGCTAGCTGTGATAACAACGGTCACTAACTCTGGTCTTACTGTCAAATTTATCATTATCTATGTAAAGCACCAGGTGCTTAGACTTTCCTGTCCTTGTTTATAAAGAAACCTTCAATATTTTCCTGATTACTTGGTTTACTTTTTCATTTTTGTTGTGGTTGTGTCACAGATTTCCTACCTTACACACCTGATTATACGTACTTTGCTTCGACTACGGAAACAGAATCGCAAATCAATCCCGAGTTGACAGCGAACACGCAATATGAAAAACTTACCATCGGTTCCGGATATCTAGAAAGTTCTGCTAAAAAACACAAAGGAGAGAAAACTAGGACCACACCAACCAACCCTTAAGTAGTAGAACTGATGTGACCACAGCCAGTAAATTGTCTGAAACACCATCCAGTGAATATTGTTTTGCTGCGCAATACATTTGTTAGACAAAATAAAGTGACATGAACAGAAATGACTGAGTGTCGATGCAGTTTATAAGGCGAAAAACCAACAAATTTTCCCATATCACAGACATAGAAATAACGTAAAGCTGATCAGAAACCTGATAAAACACGCGTTCACTTTGGGACAAGACAGGACTAAGTTTTCCTAGGCCGGCAGGCAACAAAATAACGCAAAACAGAACCTATAACGAAACTTCGATGGTCAAATTTACCATGCTTCGAAATGCAAATAATAAGTACAGATGTAACGATGAGATTTCTGACCTGACGCTAGTGACTGGTGAACGTAAACCGTTCCGTTTATCGATGACAGTGAAAATACACTTTCTTGATACTACACTCCACTGCATTTCTCACTAACACCTCATAATGACGGACATTATTCGTCATAAGTAATACGTGAAATAGGCCTTACGCTATTTCTTCCCAATATAAAAATATAAATAACCATTACCTGTGAGTAAATAAATTAATGCTCAGTAACCCATAATACTACAATATTAGAGATGAACAAATAACCTTGATATACATTGCTCACGATTTCAAAAACCTCTTCTGCTAGTCACTTTACCTCGGAATCGGCGAGGGCCATAACAGTTATTTAAGTGTAAAGAATGATCAGAGTAAGTAATATGAGAGGATGAGACTAAAAAATATAGTGGTGCAGGGGATTTAAACAAATGATCGTTTGTTTATGAGCAAATCTTTCAGCTAACTACAGAAAGTGCGCGGATCATAACCACAGACTTACAACAACTGACGATTTTGTGGAGTTAAAGTACAGAAACCTATCTAACCTTATACTTACTTGGAAAAGGAAAATAGTCACCACCTCAATGTTGTTGTCACTACACCGAACTCATCCAAATCTTCCGCAAAATTGTTTGCAATGCAGTCCATATCCAATATCTTTTTTTGAGCTAGTGTCAACCGATTGATTTCTTCGCACTCGCTTCCAAGTCTTGCAAAATAGTTCCAGGTGTTCAATGGATTCCCATGCAGTAGGTCTATCCACTCGAATGCTGTAGCCCTGGTTAGCCCGACAGGCGGTTGGGTGTTAGTTAAATTTGTGGGGGAGTATGTGTTCTTTTTCCAAGGACAGTGGTGCAGATGGAATCCTCAAGTGTCGTGCCAGCAGAAATTTGGTCTGACTAGTTGTAGAAACGAGAAGGAAAATATATCCAGAGAAATCATGGGGGATAAAGTAGAAGAAAAATAAACAATAGAAAAAACTATCAGGCAAAAGGAAACGGTACGTAAAAGAAACATCAGCAGATTAATGAGAGAAGGGTGATGAGGAGAGCTTTTATTAAGGTATGAGAATGTTAAGTCAGTGGGAAGAGAAGAAGGAAATGACATTAGAGAATGGCTTATGGGGATAGAGACAGTAACTCCATTAGTAGGA